CTGGGGAGTCAGTAGAGAAATTCTCCACTAGCGAGAATGGATTCACCCCTCTGTCCCCGTGTACTGCACTTTTGTGTATGAGACCGCTTTAGTCCACAGATCTGAGAACAGTGCTTTACTGCATTAATCACTGAGCCTTTTCACTTAGTGGACACTCAACATTAAACTCAGACTTAATAAAAACACTGGCGATAATGAGCTGCTTGATGTAATGGAAATGATGATAAAAGAGCACGAAGGACGGCTGTTTATTTCCCAGGGTTCCTGTTTGGCCCTGATCGTTCTAAAGCACCTGGACCCAGAAGTCCTGATTTAAGTCTTTAAACTGTTTCCAGGTCAATAAACACAACCTGATACACTTGACATCATTAGTAGTGCTTGCTAAGGATGGCAGCACTGTTGCTATTACTCAAATATTTCATTCCTTAACCGTAAGTATTAAAATTGGTAATGAAACTAAACATGCCCTGTGCTATGGATGTAAACGATACCTCAAATCATCAGATGTGGCTTGTTGAGGAGAGCGGTGTTATTACTGTTCTTATATTACTATTAGGTACAGTTTGCAAAAAAATTTAAAAGAGCTGCATTTATTTAAAATAGAAATCTTTGTAACATTTTAAATGTCTTTACTGCACCTACTGCATTTACTTCATTTAAAAGATCCCAAAAAGTCCTTAGTTATTTCTTTAGGTTAGACTGCAGTGAATTACATTAAGTATAGGCCTACATTACAAAAAGAAGTAACAAAATCACTGATGGTCAGCAGCTCTCATCTGGTTTTTCTTTATCTTTCACTTCACCTGGGAGTGTTTATGAATAACAGACTGTACAGGGGTTGGGTAGCTATTTTTTATTTGTATTTCTACAAATTACAGATGTAATACGACAGTATTACAAAGTCACATTGGCCTTTTCACTGATGGGATTGTGTGTGTGAATGAGTGTGTTTGTGTGGATTTGAAAACTTGCTAAGCACAGTGACTTTTCCTTTGATGTGGCTGGCTTTATCATGTTCAAACATAATGCATAATTCAATGCATAATTTACAATGATGGCAAATAAAATCACAATATATTTTATTAACAACACTGATACACAGTGATTGGGAGATCAAACCAGCGCAGCATGAATATCAAATACAAAATGCACATAGGGAACCGAAGCTGAATTAAAGGCTGTTTGCACATGCAAACGTTGGCCTCTGTTACACACACATTATGGCATCTCTTAATATCAGAAGTCAACATTTTTAATCTCTCTCAATTCCAGATGAGAATCAAGCAAATCTCTAAACTCACAGGGATTATACAAGTAAAAATTAAAAGGAAGGTAAGGCAGATTAAATGATATCCGGTGTAGAGTACTGTGAAAGTGTTTTGCACACATTTTCACTTTAATTAAAGATGTATTTAGAAATTTTGTTCTCATGAAAACCGTTTTAAACAAAGAAATAAAAGTTTAGAAAATAATAAAGTTTTATTTGGGCCAGTAAGCAAACACAAAACTGCTTAGCAACTGCATAGCAACAACGAGCCATCCTGTTATTCAGAAAATCTAATTAACATATGTCCTCACATTTATTCATTCCAGATAATTACTTAGCTAGAAAGTATGAAAAATTTCATTTTTATTTAGTAAAACATATCAACTAATAAATAGAATTGATGTAAATATAATTCTTGCAGTCATTAACTTGCATGTTTTCTCACTTACATAGTCTAGAATCACTCTTAACAGTAAAATCTCTTAGGGATTCTACTGCATAAAATGCAAAAATGTAAATTACACTTCATTGTCCATTAAAAATGGACATTAGGAAAATTCATCGTTCACTTGATGCCTGGTAGTAAAAAATTAGGATATGAATTCCCTAAGAATATGGAATCACACAGCAGATCTCTAGATACAAAGATTAACAGCAATAAATGTGAAACATGGTCACATTAGCACAAAACAAATAAATTGTCATTCTGTAATGTCTGAGGGGAGAGGAGGTTCTTGCAAATATAAGCATAATCATTAGTTTGATATCACTAAGGACAACCATCTCGTTTAATATCCTGTAATGAAGCACATAAAACAGAATGGCGTTTCATAAAGTCTCACTATTGGAAGGTCACCATGGAAAAGGACATTTCCTATATTAGTCTCTGGCTCGGATTATATCCAATTGGGAGGCGAGTTGGCATCCAAATTTGAAGCCTGGCAGTTATATTTGGCGCAAAAAAATTTGGCGTGAATATATTTCACTTTATATATTAAAGTTGAATGTATGTTGAATATATATAGTCAAAATTTCAGGAAATGCAACGTCTCCTGCTGCTCTAATGATATGTTTTGACAACTCAGTGACAACATCTCATTTCATTGTATTTTTTTTATTTATTTATTCATTATATATATTTTTTTATACATTTATAAAGGTCATGAATAATGATTGTGCATGAAAAAAATGAACAAGATAGTTTTTGTAACAGTTGCACCAGTCAAAATAGCACTGAATTGAAATGGGCCTGATGAATGTGTCATGTGTGAGGTGAACTCCGTAAGTAATGACAGATGGAGGAGACGGAAGTACTCAAACCAAAACAGGCCTTTTTAATAATTCATCAGACATTAAATAATCCCTCTGAATTTATCAGTGTTTCACTATCTCTGAAAGCTCAGGATGACCTTTGGAAAATGTTAAATCTTTTTCACACGTGGCAGTGATGAGTCTGGCAGGAAAGGTTGAAACCTAACAGTCCGTCAGCTACAGCAAGTAACACAAGAAATACTCACACGCTGACAGCCGAAGCTCAATCACTCTGACATAGATTTATTTTTCAGACTAAAGTGACAGCTGTCTGTCTTTTTCCAAAAGTTAACGGAAATTGACATACATAAACTTCAGAAAGTCTGAAACCTGAATTTTATAGCACCGCTCCCTGGCTGACAGTATAGTATAATAATGGCTTATTAATTTTTTTAGCAATTAATGTTCACACAGATCCATAAATGCACAAGTAGGGAAAATACATTATTTATTTTAGTTGAAGTTGAGCAGAGCGGGACATTTTTAATCGTACATAGCAAAACAAGTTTGCGCAATAATGTGATGTACAGTGTCATGGGACATGTAGTTTTACAATTTGCGTACAGTCTCATTAACTTGCAATTAAGCCGGCCACATGTGAATATTGACTGAATTTAAAGTAGGCCCATAACAACAAAATACAAAACACTTAGCGTAGAGTGTGTGGTGAGACATCCAACTATTTTCTTTGCTTTACATTCAATCATAATGGTAAATGAGATTCAAAAGGAAGCGACACAGTCCTTGGAGGCAAAGCTCTGTGTGCTATACCATAAAATCACTCAAGCTCTTATCCTACCCTTCTCTCCCTTATCACATAAACATGACCACTAGGGCTCCCTGGACGAGATAAAGCTAACTTTGTTTCAGGCAGAGTGCTCTTTTGTCCATGTTACTCAACTTTAATTTTCAAATGCAACCATACAAACTTTGAAAAATGCTTAGAGTCGTCTGTGATTGTACCTGTGTTTGTGCGTGGTGTGTATATGTGAGAGAGAGCTAAAATTATGAAAAATATGACATTCTAAAGGCTACTGTGGTGCAGGATATTTAGACAGCCTTTGTCCAGACCAGCAGCCTGCACATTTACGGGTGGATATTGAATAGTGTACAGTGTGTGTGTATTTCTTTGTGTACGGAGTCTTTGAACAGCTTCAGCAGATCCCGGAGTCATAAAAACGTAACATACTGAACTCTTTTATTTATTTCCTGTTTTGTTCACCAGATGCACTCTCTGTGTCCTTCTTACTGAACCATTTCGATTTGGAGTTTTCTTTCAAAACTGATGATTAATGAATTTGCTCAATGAAATATTTGTCTTGTTATTTTAACTACACTACCATTCAAAAGTTTGGGGTCAATAAGATTTTGTAAAGTTTTTGAGAGAAGTATCTTATGCTCACCAAGACTGCATCTATATGATAAAAAATTACTGACACTAAAAACTCTTTTTTTTATTGTAATATTTCACAGTATTATTGTTTTCTATTTTAATATTATCATATTAAGTTGAATAATTTATTTCTGTGATTGCAAAGCTGAATTTTCGGCAACCAATACTCCATTCTTCGGTGTCATGATCCTTAAGAAATGATTCTAATATGCTGATTTGGTGCTGATGAAACATTTATTATTTTTATCAATATTACAAACTGTGGTGCTGTTTAATATTTTTTTCAAAACATTTTTCCCAGAATTATTGGATGAATAGAAAGTTCAAAAGAACAGCATTTATAAAAAAAAAACCTGTCACTTTTGATCAATTTACATCCTTCCTGAATAAAAGTATTGATTTATTCTAAACATTCAGTGTACTTTAAAAACTGATTAGATTAATCTTTTGCAAATATTAAAATGTTCAGTCTTTCTCTTTTGGGAAAATACCCTATAATATAACGACTGATCACTTCAGGTTTTTGTCCAATCAAATGCTCTCTAGAATAAGAATGTTCCTCCCACTCATGCCACCCGACAATAACTGGCAAGTAGCAAACCATGTTTCATGTTTCGTAATGGGGAACAAAAGGCACTTGAGTCCCACCCAAAATTCAACACTGGAAAGCAACTGAAAGAAAATAGAAAATATACCTGGAATGGTGCAACATACAGATTATGCCAAATAACACAGTTTACTTTTATTTCAGTAGATAATCTCTTTTGTATCCTTTCATTTAACGTGATCCTATTAAAGATTTTTCAGTGTCACAAGTCATCTTCTGTGGGCTATTTACTGGAGGAATGAAAAGATGATGGTTGTTTGGAAATTGCCTTGAGAAACTGGGATACACAGGCCATTCAATTGTTACAGAAATGTCATGAAAATCCATTGTAAAAAAATCAGTGTGCAGTCACTAATGTAAAAATACATTTATTCAGATTAAAGTAACTTTCAGTTCACATTCAAATAGAAAACTGGCTGTCAGTTATTAGTAGCGATGAAACATGCACTCCAAATGAGTATACTTCTAAAGAATACTGCATTGTGAATACTAACCAAATTAAGAATATGTTGCCAACTTACAATAGTAACACACATTGCCAAGGCACAAATGAATGAGTTCAGCAGATGAGGCTTCTACACAGATGAAGGTACCAACCTCTGTTTGTGCCATATCTACTCAACCCTAAAACCATGCTCCTTATGACCTCTTAACATTGAGTCAGATGAGGTAAGCATCAATATAAACATACATAAAGCTATAAGCATATTTCAAATGATTAAATATTGATTTTTCTGTATGAAAGCGTATAACATATGATTTGTGAACTCTAAAAGTGAGCTGTTTTACAAATGTGAGGCAGTTAATCTTATATATCTACAAGTTAGCATGCGGAGAATGATCTCTTATGTTTACAAAAGGAATTGTGTGCCCCTGCTTAGGATCAGTTTCTCTGATTATCGTTTTAAGAAAGAATTGTGAAAGAAACTACTCCTTAAGTGCTGATATAATATATAATTCTACTGCTTTCGATAGAGATTTTGATTTAATTTACATCTGTAATTTATAATGTCTTGATTAACACTTAAGGAATTGTTCAATTATAGGGCTCAAATGTAAAACACCACAATAATAAAAAAGGCATAAGCACCACAATAACAGAAAAAGTTAAGGGAAAAAAGTATAATTATACATGTAATACAGTTGATATCATCATCAAACCTTCCATCATCATTTCAGACATTGGTGCAGTTTGGAATCTGCCTGGTCCTTTGCCGCTCTCCAACCCCAAGGCCTCCTAAACACACACACACACACACACACACACACACACAAAGCAGAAAATCGCTGTAATTGCAACCAACAGGCAAGGGCAACTATGTGATCAATGATTTCCACTTCAGTGTCATGTGATCAGTCCTTGATTACTGTGAATCAAAAAGTCCTGGGACACACAGAAGACAATCACCTTCTCTGACAGCAAAGTAATAAAAGTAGAATGAATGAACTGGGGTCCATCCACTGACCTCACGCTTACAAACAACAGATACACACAAAAACAAGCACGTCTCTCTTCATGCTCCTTAAACACAAATTTCATCTTTATGAAGATTAAAGATGACAGAAAAGGACTTCCCTTGTAAAAAAAAAAAAGGGCGCTTAATTTTAGTGAATGTGTACTTGTGTACTTCAAATCTTAAAGGGGTCATCGGATGCAAAATTCACTTTTGTTGTTGTTTGAACATAAATGTGTGTTGGAAGTGTGTGTACACATCCACCCTATAATGATAAAAATCCACCCAGTTTTTTTTTTTAAATCCCTATTTTAAAATGCTCTTTCTGTTCTGAGATTCCGGTCAGAATTACGTAGTTCTGCACAGGCCGCTCCAACGATAGTTGATTGACAAGGCCGTCTTACCTTAAGACCCGCCCTGAGTGAGCTGTGAGCTGTCCGCCATTGTGTCGACTCCAGAGCAGGGGAATACATGAATGTATCCGATTAAGCGATTGAGGTGTTTTGTTGCTGGATGTAATAATGAACATAGCAGTCGTCATTTACGCCCGACATCTGAGCCGCTGAAGACGCAGAGGATTAACGTTACTTTCGTTTTTGAAAGGAATGCGCCGATCCCCGATCTGCCTAAATGCGTTTAAGTTCACGCGAATCATTCATGATCCAGCTTCATCTACAGAAGAAGTGAGTATAAGGGTTTTTTATCTTTGCAAGTTTTACGCTACTACTGAGAAATTTTAACCAAAGTACGTTATAGACTTTTCATTAAGACCCTAAAGAATCATATCAACTTGTGGAAAATGGGCATCCAATGACCCCTTTAATATATTTTTAAAAAGCTTTACTTGTAGATAGCATTTTAATAATGATATAAAAGACCACTAATGTGTGCTTAAAGAGGCTACACGTTTCTTAACACTTTTAAGTACACTTTGTAATCATGTCAAATTAAAAGTTGCATTAAGTACATTTTAAATTGTTGTTTTAAACTTTTGTCATGCTTTAAAGATGTACACTTATTTTGATGTGTTGACTAACATACTAAAGCACATGTAAAGTACTTAATTATAATTTTACTGTAGTGTGCTTTGATATTACATTTAAAGTTAATATATTGCAAAACTGAGTCAAAATTGAGTAAAAAAAAATCACTCTTAGGTTTAACTAACTGCATTTCATATCAATTTAAACTACAATAGATTTTCATTTAATTGTAAATAACATGCAGTTAAGTGCTCAAAAACATTGCATTCAGTTTGCACAAGTATATTCTTTAAAAGTAAATTGTTTCCATAAAAAGCACTCTTTTTATAAGTATGCTACACAAGAGTTTACACAAGAGTTGTTAAGAACAAGAAAACCTAGCATAAATATTGTGTATGGGATAATCACTTATCTAACCTGTGTTGTGAGCCTCCAGCTCCTTCTCTATCAGTTCTCTTGGAGGTGGCAGATGGCTGAAGTTGTTGTGTGTTCCGGTGTTGGAGGCAAATGGTGTTTGTGTTGTGTGTGCGTTGCATGTTGTGAATGAAGTGGCTGTTGTACGTGTGCCATTCTTCTCCTGTCCGACAGCACTGATCATCTCGGGCTCCTTCTCATGGGTGTCCTCTGTCTCCACATGGATCCATGGGATTTTACTAGTGTTGTGGAAAAAAAATGGGATGGGTTTTTGTTTTTAGTCCAAGTAGACCAGATCAAGAGGAAACTGATGGTCACTGATGCCAATAAAGTAAGCAAGCATCATTTGTCAGCATTGGTTGGTGTTTCCAGAGCATATCAAAATGACATTGTATTATTAGCCCATGATTTGTTGAGCAGAACTGGGAGATTTGGGAGGGGTAAGGCTTACCGTTTGAACTTGTAGATGAAGACAATGGCCAATCCCACCAGACCCAGAGAAACCAGTAACAGCATGGCAGAGCCACTGGGGAGAACACTGGAGTCCACCAGAGGTGCTACGGGCAATACACAGCATAGCTCAATGTCTCATCTCACAGTCTACTCTGTATATAAAAAGCATGCATTTAATGACTCCGAAGTGACTTACATTGCATTCAAGGTACACATTTTTATCACTTGCTCTCTGTGGGAATCAAACCCATGACCTTTGCTTTGCTAGTTTTTCCCCCCAGCTACAGGAAGGCAAATGCATACATAATGCTTTCTGTGCTTTATAATCAATTGTATGTTCTTATAATAAAAAAATATATAAAATATAGTTTATTATATTATGAATCGATATTAAGCCTATAATGCAATATGCATATTTGCCTGATAGTTTTCTACTTAATAAAATAACAGATATTGATATTGATATTAATAGTTATTGATATTATAAAATTAATGATTACTATGCTTAATGTTTCATATATTGTTTATAAAGACTAATCATATTGAAAATATCAAATATGATATAGGTATAGGCCTATTTATTTCAATCATGAATGCAATGCCCATTTCATAATGTATTATGCTCATTAAAATAATGACTATTCAGTCATTTAATCATTGTATAAAAAAAGGTAAATATCAATTTTAGAACTTTACCTGCTCTATCATTATTCAAATCTCAGTGATTTTCACTATAACTCTTGGTAACATTATTGTATTAATGAATACAAAAACCAAATTTTATGAATACATAAAAAGAATCATGAACCAAAAGAAAATCCTTCAAATATTTAAAATGCTATCCAATAAACAAATTATTCTAAATATTACTTTATCAGAATGATCATTGATAAATATAAATGAAGGAAGAATATATTAGGGCTGTCACAATTCCTTGATTAAATTCAAGTACTCTATTATTAAAAATCCTCTACCGTGTCGATTAACTAGCAAAATAACGGAAGTGGCGAGTTCCACGGGCGAGAATCCATGAAAAGCATTATTAGTCCGCTTTTTAAGGCTGCACGAAATATTAAAACCATTTAAAATTCAAAATTAAGCATAGAGCTACTGTGAATTCACAAAGGCTGCGATTCAATTAAATAAACATATGGACTGCGGGTTTAATATGCCCTTTATTTATATGCATTTAGGTTACAGCTCCATTCACAGTAAATGCTGCTCCACACAGACAGTTATCATTTTCATGCGCGGACCGTCTCAAACTCCATCCTTGCATATTCTGTGAGTCTGAGTTGCTTATAACATTCATCATGCACCATATAACATGCACCATTCTGTCAGATTTATAAGGTAAATAATTTATAAACCTACGCCAACACAGGAGAACACATCATTATGCTAACTGTTCACCACAACTTCAAAATAAAAGTTTAAACCCTCTACAGGCATTTGATATAATACATAATGTACATAAGTTACGATTATATTGTTTTATTACATTATGTGTTTTAACGTTTGTTCAATAACCAATTATTATTGCCTCATTGCTATTATACTGTATATGTATTTTAAGTCATTTTAAAGTCGCTTAGGTCTGTTTTTATTACCACACAAAATTATCAGATTACTCGATTAATCGTTAGAATAATCGGCTGATTATTCGATTAGCAAAATATTAGTTAGTGACAGCCCTAGAATATTACTGTAATATAGAATATTATATTACCAGTATGTTATTGGTATAACAACAGCTAACTGTGAAAACAAAAAGTCTGTCGACCACGAATGTCTTTGCTGTCTCTCAGAGCGTTTCTGATGTGTGAGAGGCATATCCATTTCAGTAATTCTAAAAACTGTCTCACTCGTTCACTGCACACACACACACACACACACTGCAGTCCATCCTTCAGCCCTTTGAGGGTTGACGCATGATGATTGTGACCTTTCGGCAGAATGCAGGAGGCAATCTGAACCTTTTCCTGTTTGGAGCAATGAAGACAAATGGCCGTGTCTGAAAAGGGTAGAATTATATGTGGCAGAGAGACACTCTTTATGATCCTATAATATCATTTCAAACTCACTATATTGGTCATGCTCAGACAGGCTCCACATGATCAATATTAATCTAAAGTCCAGGGTGGAGTATCTGTTCTCTAGGTTTTCTAGCACCAAGAGAAGGTTGAGGTATTTGACACAATGGATCGTAAGCAAAATAATCATGTAGTGTACTTTATGTAACCACAGAAGCATAAAGTCACCTCACATAACCACAGACAGCGCTGTAATTTACCACAAAGAGGCAGCAATTAAATGCAGATCACAATGCGGTAGACAGTTAATAGCCCCTTTCACACATTACTGGTAAATTACTGTTAAGAGATCATGTGTGAACAGGACCTTTTCAGAAATACTGGTAAATTCATTCCGGCAATTTACCGGTATGAGAAGTTGTAAAATTAACCAGTAAATTACCGGTAATGTGCTCTGTGTGACTGCAGCACAAGATTACCGGTATGAGCACATACGAGTTCAGAACGAGCTGACGCAAGACATCTGCTGGGTCAATCATAACATTCTGAAGCAGATGATGCATTTACTCCGCACTGTTTACGGAAGTCAAAGAAATGTTAGATTACTTTTAATACGATGCCTCTGGGACAAAAGCAGCGGCATGAATATGAACGTTTGACACAAAAGTGAAAACATCAACAAAAACACTACCTGCATATACACCTCTCCATGTTTACAAACACAACACCGGGAAGCGGAGCTGTTTAAAGGTTGTTTCCAGTTAATGATGTCACAGAATTTACTGGTATTTTGAAATTGATGTGTGAATGGTGCTTTACCGGAAATAAGATGGAACATCATTGCCTGTGTGAACAGCGCACTTTTTAATTTACCGGTAAAGTAGTTCCGGTAATTTTATGGAAATGTACTGGTATTACTGTGTGAAAGGGGCTAATGTAACACAACCACAGACAGCAGTGGCAAATGAGCCCTATAACCACAGACAGAAGCAGTGCAATGATTTTGTGTTGTCAGCAGTGTTGGGGGTAATATATTACAAGTAACGCAAGTTACGTAATCGGATTACTTTTTTCAAGTAACTAGTAAAGTAACGCATTACTTTTTAATTTACGAGAGAATATCTGAGTTACTTTTTCAAATAAGTAACGCAAGTTACTTTTTTTTTTTCAATTTATTGATTGACAGCTCTCCTGTCCCCATGTTGAGAGAAATCAGAAGATGTTACTGTAGTTCAAAATAAATATGAATATGCATTAATTAATCTCACTCAAAAAAAAAACACAGATTCAGTATTCCTCAAAATGAATAAAAATAATGCAACTCAGAATATGACGCAAACCTGCAATAATTAAATGTTAAACAACACAAATATCCTTTATGTATTTAATCCCATTCTATTAACCAATGTCTTTGCTTCTGACCTTCGATGATTCAGTTCAACCGTACTAATAATCAAAAATGACTCTAGACAAACATTTGTGTCTTTTTTTTATTGCTGAAGTGTGTTGAAATTTCTTCTTCTGCATTCAACTGTAAGGACGTAAATTTACATTCTCTTCAGCCTGAGGCTTATTAATTTCACTTTTGGTGTGAAAAGGCTTTTATATTTGCCAAAAATAAAACTTTTTTATTTTAAAAACAAACAAGCAAGCCCTGTCCAGATGTAAAAAGTAACGCAAAAGTAACGTAACGCATTACTTTCCATAAAAAGTAACTAAGTACCGCAATTAGTTACTTTTTTATGGAGTAATGCAATATTGTAATGCATTACTTTTAAAAGTAACTTTCCCCAACACTGGTTGTCAGAGAACATTGATTAAAATCTTAGGAACAGAAACTTGGTCTGTCAGGACCACTATCATCAAAGATGATTGACAATTAGCATACAGT